GGGCTTAGAGGGTTTAGGGTCGCCGCGAGGGTTTAGGGTTCAGGATTTTGGGTTCAGGATCATTGGGTTCAGGGTTTAGGGTTTAGAGCGTTTAGGGTTCAGGGTTTCGGGATTGCGGGTTAGGGGCTAGCGGTTGGGGGTTAGGCCAGGGGTTTTGGGCAGGTGTGATAAACACTACGGGCCAACTTGTCGGGGGATCACAGAAGGAGAACGAATATCGCCTACTGATACTATACCCATTCAGGTGTTGGGACAGAATAGACTTTCCAACGTTGATGCTTCTATCCCCTCCTCCATAACTCCTTCAAGACCCTAGTTTGGGCCGCAGGATGCGACTGAGACACCGACACACCCAAAACCCTAAATGATGTCAAAAACCCTATAACAAAAACTCGATGTAACCTTTTCAGTAAGCAAATCACAGAGAAATTCTACACCAACCTCCTGAAACCTTACAAGGATGCCACAAACTCTAAGCTCTTAAACCTATAATTGCGGTTGAAGGCCCTCCTCCTCAGCGCTGAAGCACTGACCCAGGTGGTTGCGGCCCTGAAAAAGGAGTCGTAGATTGAGAGTAGAGCGGTGTCTTTGGGTATTTTGAGACATTTGGTGAGGGGTCTAGGGGATTGCGATTAGGGTGCAGGGTGCAAGAGTTAGGGGCCAAAGGTTTTAATCGTCTTTCGGCTTGGAGCGCAATGGGGTCCAGGGGCCGTGTAGAAGTTCCGTAGGAGATCTACCTGGACCTGTTTGCTACATCCCCTGATCATCAAGTAGATTGTGTCGTTCATGTATGAGTCGAGGCACAGGCACAAACAAAAACGCCGGGTTGCGAGTGTTCACAGATTCCCAGAGAGCCCAATACCCCTTAATTAAGGAATATACCTTAAATCATACTATTACGGCCCCTATAATTTAAGGTATAATTCCTTATTTAAAGGGTATTGGGCTCTCTGGGTTCGGATTCAGGCTTCACGGCAAGCAGTCAGGAAGCATCATGAGACTTGGCCACAACGATGGCCGTCGCTCCGATTAAATCGGCGTTGACGGTCATGAAGCATTGGCTACGCGAATACTGCGTGCAGCAATCCAGAAAAAATACCAGCCATGCCGAAGACGATCATAAAGTTGGAGATCAAGATGTTGCTAGTGTGATGTTGACGATGGTGAACATGGTCGACGGCAGAGATGAGCCTGATAATGACGATGAGCCTGATCAGGCTGATCATAAAGAAGAAGTAGATGATAATGAACACTATTATCACGAGCTGGTGACGACGACACTGATGATGTTTATGGAACGTCATGTATATCTTCTCAAGGCACGGCATGCTCTGCATGGTATCGAAGCTTCTGACATCCTAGGTTGTTCTGGCATCACAACTAATACGGGGGCCTTTATCATTAGAGTAGGTTTTGGGGTCTATCTACTCTAGTTAGCAATAATAAGGAACTCCAAGGGACAGTTCTACAGCAGCAGCAGCCATGGGCTCACAGGGCTGCCCCTAACCTGCCTACCCCAGGGGCGCCAGAATTTAAGTCTTGACCCTTACGAAGGTCCTGGACACAACGTGTAAGGCGTGGGAAACGGTTGATCCTGCACCCAGAACACGAGCTCCCGCAACGAGAAAGCTTTGCAAAGACCCTAGAACAGCACCGCCAAGGATAGATTATTCTTTCCAAGAGAACTAAAGAACAACCATCCAAACAACAGCTTCGAAAGCATCCTTTCAGGTCATTTCCAAGGAGACCCCAACAAAACCCAAAACCTCCAACACCCCTACCCCTACCCCTACCCACCCCGTCTAAGCCCCCCCCTCCCCCACCCCCGTCCCCCCGCGCCCTTCGAAGAAAAGAGCTGACGGGACCAGCCGCCTCCAAATCCCCGGGCCCCGCCTCGTGCATGCCTGCTGCACAGCGAAAAGCCTTGTCCATAGTGAGACCCACAGACTCCAAGAGGAGGCTCACCTGAGAGGGTGTCAAAAACCGAGGCTTGGGGGGTTTGGGGGTTAGGTTTACGGTTTAGGGCTTAGGTTTTAGGGCTTAGGGTTTGTTTGCAGGCTTCCTTCTGTTTGAGAGTTTGTTCTAATTTGCACAGGGTTTTGGGCTCAGTGTGTCAAGCACAGGGCCTTGAGTAATTAGAACAGGGTTTCGTAGGATTCCTTAAACAGGGTTCTATCAGGGTTATTAAACACGGTTCAGGGTTTAGGGTTTAAGGTTTAGGGGTTTAGGGGGGTTCTATCAGGGTTACCAAAAGGTTTACTAGAAGGTTTGGCATAGGAGAGGGCTCACCTGAGAGTTTGAACTGGTTTATACCAGAACCTGTGACTAGACATGCAGGCTTCTGTACGAAAAAGCAGTCCTTTAGGGCCTGGCAACCTATAGGCCAGTGTTCTACGGCAAGGTCCTTGTAGGCTTTAGGGCTTAGGGTACGGTGCATACGCAAGTACGCATGTGCGGGCAGCATTGCTTCCGGTATCGGGCGGGCACCATGAAACGCTGGAGGCGGAAACTGGCTAGCCCAACTTGTAGTAGGTGTAGTGAAGACGCCACAGGCCCAGCGGGGCTTCACAGGATTGTATCGGGGTTTTATACGGGGCTTATATGGGTTTGGGGCTGCCTTAAGGGATCGGCAGACTTAGCAAGATCTTGAGGCCCTTGAGCCCAATTTTCATATGGTATGGACGGCCATGATGGACTAACCTAAACCCCAAACCCTAAACCCTAATAAAGGGCTTAGGCTTCAAACTTGTCGAGTCCGGGGCGGAGGCTTCGGCAAAGAAGGGGTTCAAAGTTGGGGATTTAGGGTGCATGCCTTGTTTCGGGGTGTTGGGTCCTAAACTTTTTGGGGCTTAGGACGGATGTAGGGTTTCAGGGTGAGGTTTAGGGTTTAGGGTTTAGGGTTTACGGCTTGGACCATTGGCCCCTAAGCCCTAAACCCTAAACCCTAAAATACGAAGTTCTCGCGACTGACGAACCACTAGGGCGCTCACGGTCAGGCTCGTCGAGTATGGGGATGACGTCTGGCTCCCTCGCTTCTTCACCTAGGGCTTGGGTTTGGGGTTAAGGGTTAGGGTTTAGAGCTTAGGGCTTAGAGTTTAGGGTTTAGGGATTTAGGGTTCAGGGTTTAGAGGTTACGCTTTAGGGCTTAGGGTTTTGGAGTTTAGGGGTTAGGGTTCAGGGTTTGGGGTTGAAAGTTTAAGGTTTCGGAGTGAGGGTCCAGGCAAAGGGGTTTAAGCTAGGACACGAACAAGTCCAGGAGCAGGAATCGAAAGACCTAGCCAACCCCTGTAAAGCCCGAGGCTGGAGGTTCTGCCAGGTTTGCCATGCGAGGTGGTTAGGGGATCATGAACCGCAAGAAGTACGGCCACAGGGACAGTCTTTAGGGTGGTAAGTGATACGTAACTACAGCCATGAAATACTTACTTTACTTCCATAGCCCAAACCCTAACCCTTGATCTGTGGCCCTGGGAACATAGGTTTGAATCCCTAAACCCTAAACCCAAAACCCCAAACCCTAGGACCCCTAAGTCTCAACCATGCAGGGCACAGGGCCTAGAGGTCCTCGGGTTTGGTCCGGTTTGGATTTCCTAAGCAAAAAGTGCTGCGCTTGCTGTTCTTGGTTGGAGGCTTCAGGATTTGCTGGCTGTTCCTGGGGTTCTTTTTTGCGGCGATACATAGAGCGAAAAGCCAGAGAGAAAGAGAGAGAGAGAGAGAGAGAGAGAGAGAGAGGGAGAAAGAGACGGAGACTGACACTGACGGACGGACAGACAGACGGACGGACGGATGCCCACACGGACGGACGGGACCACACGGACGGATGGGACCGACAATAACAAACAAACAAACAAAAAAAACAAACAAACAAACGAACGAACGAACGAACAAACCAACAAACAAACGAATAGCCACAGACTGACAGAAAGACATAAGCGATTGTGAAATGAACATGCATGTGTGTGTGTGGACACACACACACATACATATATACATATATACATATATATATATATATTATGAACAGATACAAATATGGAGAAATATACCGATACGTATGTATGCGTATATATATATAGAGAGAGAGAGAGAAAGATAAATATATATATATAACTATATAACATGTACACACGCACAGACATTCATTCAACTACGTGTGTAATTGTGTCTACTTATTTGTACATGTACGTGTCTAAGCATATACTGCATGCACATACATTCAACCAAAGGTTAACACCCCACACTCACAAGAGCATCGAGACATCCACATCGCACGACGCTACACTTTCAACCTTCAGTCCGAGTCCACCGTCCTGAGAAAACAAAAAAAAACGTTGCAGAACCCCTGTAATTTTTTTAGTACCCTGGTAACTAGCACTCCAACATCCCACAACTCCTGACCCCTAATCCGTCACTATGCTAAACACCCAGCGGCCCCCAAAATACCTAAACCCTAAACCGTAAACAAAAACAAAACGAAAACCAGCAGGACCGCCTCATCTGACAGGCCAAAAGTGCTGGTGGCCTCGACATATAGATTCTCCAGTAAGTTTAGGGTTTAGGGTTTAGGGGTCTCATGCCCTACAGGGTTTAGGGCTTACACCCTGGTTGTGCAGGTTTGGTGTGGGGTTCAATGCTTCGGCTTTCCAACATAACGATTTCGGCTTTGCCTGTCCAATTTGTAAAGGTTGTGGTGCTGGTAACAACAGCAGTAGTGGCAGTAGTGGGGGTAGCAGTAGTCGTGGTAGTAGTTGTTGTTGTTGTTGTCGCAGAAGTAGTAGATGCACTAGTACTAGAAGCAGGAGCAGCAGCAGCAGCCGCGGCAGCAGGAGAAGCAGCAGCAGCAGCAGCAGCAGCGCCAACGGCCAATAAGGAGCAGCATCAACAGTAGTAGGAATTGCAATAGCAGGAACACTGGTGACGCAGAGAACTACTGTTTGGCCTCTGAACTGAACATACCCTACCACACCCTAGCCCTCCTGAACTATGGATGTTCGTCAAGGTGCATGAGGGAAACCTCGAGGAAGGTACAAAACATCACCTGGTGCGAGAGTCTCGTCGATCAGCATGTCACCAACCTCCGGTTTAGGGTTTAGGGTTTAGGGTAACTGAACAGCATGAAGTTAGCTTGAGAAACAGGGGAACGAACGCTAGTGGAAGGAAGCGCAGCGGCGAATCGTCCAACGAATCCATTGCATCACAGCACAGCGAATCACTCGAGCGGACAAGCAAAAACATCCTGGGTAGTGGGGCAGGGACATTGTCGGCGATGCTTCATAACGTCGAGGCAACCCACTGTCTGTGCTAATTCAATGCTGACACATGTTGCGAATTTCACCTGCAAAATTCGCGGGAGCAGGAGTTCTTCTCTGGGATTTGGGAAGGGGGGTTTGCGGGTTTTGAAGGGAACTTAGGGTTTTATGGCTTGGGTTCCCTCCTAAAGGGCATCGCCAATCGCTGAAGCCTGAAGCCTGTGGCCTTCTGAACCCCTAAACCCTGAGCCCTAAACCCTAATTCCTAAACCCTAAACCCTAAACCTTAAGCCCTAAACCCTAAACCCTGAGCCCTAAAGACCGACACTCTCAACATTCCACGGAACCCCAGAACCCTGGCACCCTGAAACCTAGCGCCTTAAACGCGACACGGTTTCTCTAAACAAAACCCCGAACCTCGAGACCCTGAAACCCTTCAACCCTATTAACTTAAAGCCCTACTTCCCGAACCCAAATACCTAAAGCCTCTCCGCCAGGACCCCCAAAATCTCCAAACCCTAAAGCACACTTCGAAAGATGAAAAGACGTGCAAGCCCAAGCAAAAGATCCCGAGCCCCTTTCCCCCATCTCTCGGCGCACTTCCTCCCTCAAACCCTAGCCCTAAACCCCCAAACTCCCAACCCTCACAAAAACCTAAACTCCCTCAAAAAACAAAAAGAACAACAGAAAAAAACAACACCCCTACACAGACCCTCAACCCCAAGACCCCCAAACCGGGCCTGCTCCAGGTAGAGGACATCCCCGGCCTTCCCCCTGCCGGAGATCGGCTTGGAGCTTACGATCTGTCTACAGCTTCGGGCTTCGGGTTCAGCACCTCGGGTTCAGGGCCTAAGGGTTTAAGGCCTAAGGGTTTAGGGCCTAGGGTTTAGGACGTAGGGGTTCAGGGCCTAGGAGTTTAGGGCCTAGGGTTTAGGATGTAGGGGTTTAGGGCCAAGGGTGTAGGGGTTTGGGGGCTTACGGGTTCAACGCTCAGGGCGCGTAGAAATCGAACCCGGAAGCACCCCCCCCCCCTGCGGTTCAGGACTTCAGGGCCTCAAACCATGTAGGGGTTAAAGGTTCAGGGCTTTATGAGGGCTTAGGGCTTCAGGATTCGGAGTTTTCGCTGTGGGAAATGGGCCTCTTCTGAAACCCCGTGGGTCCTCTAAAACACCTATGAAAGCCCTTATATGAAACCTTCGAAACCCCTAGAATGAAGGCCTATGAACCCCGGGAACACTACTTCTTAAGGGGGCCCTGCCTGTCTGTCATCCCGGAATCCAAGACCGGCCACGCAGGTACCGAGTTGCTGGTCCCGAAGATTCGCCAGCGCTTGAACCCCTGCAATCCGACGACGGTTTAGGATTCAGCGCCTAGGGTTGAGGATTTAGGTTAAGGATTTAGGGCTTGTGGTTTAAGGCTTAAGTTTGGAGGGTTTAGCACTTGCGGCTTAGGATTTGGTGATTTAGGGTCTGGGGCTTCGGTTGTCATGGGGTGTTGGGGTTGTCAGGGCTTCGGGTGGCCAGCGAGAGGCACTCAGGGCGTCAGGGACGAGGGATTCGGGTTCTTGATCAACAGCAGTGTCTCGCTTCGGGCGCATGATGCGGATCACGATGTCTATGGTGAGTTTCATGGTGATGACGCTGACGATGGTGCTGTTCCTGATGATGACGATGACGGAGATGACCATGACGATGACGGAGGATGACGATGATGATGACAATGATGTTGTTGATGATGATGATGAGGATGATGATGATGAGGATGATGATGGTCTTGATGATGACGACGACGATGATGATTATGCTGTTAACGAAGACGATGCTGAGGATAATGGTGGTGATGGCCATGAGGATGGCGATGATTTTGAAGACGATGAAAATGGTGAAGATGGTGAAGACGGTGAAGATGGTGGTGATTATGATGATGGTGGTGAAGGTGGTGAAGACGGTGAAGATGGTGGCGATGATGATGATGATGATGATGTTGATGTTGTTGATGATGATGATGATGGTGATGGTGATGATGATGGTGATGGTGATGATGATGATGATGACGATTATGAAGATTTTGATGGCGGTAACGATGACCGTGTGAGACTGCTGGAGGTGGTGATCATTGTGATGATGACAACTGTGCTCGTGCGTACATCACTTGCTGGGTGGATGTTTCGAGACTGTGAACAAGGTGCGCTGTGCAATACCCAATAAGGCTGCCTCTCCCTCATTCATACTATCCGGTAACCTGAAATCCTCTGCAAGTCAACTACGACACCTCCGTCTGCATGATGAAGGAGTCAAAGCGATCCGTATGCAGCGGTGCAGTGACGGGCGCATCCAGGTGCGAGATGTACACGTTCAGGGTGACGAAGGGAAGCTGCCGGACAACTCAAACTTCAGGGTTCAAGCGTTTGGGGGGTGCCGGGTTTAAACATGAGCTAAGCATGACTCCAGAGCCCCTAACAGTATTCCGAACCCATCTGGTAAGAATCATGGCCTCGGAGAGTTTGTCACGGAGTGCGCTCGGAGCTTCATATAGGGGCCTTTATAGTTTTTCTAAGCGCTCGTAAACACCCCTACGTATACAAAACGAAAAAACAGCTCTATAAGCCCGGCTGGTGCAAAGATCCCAAAAACGCTCTAAACCCTGAACCCTCAACCGCAACTCCTTACAGACCCCAAAAACACTACTCCCTGCTTCTTCCTTGCGCTCTCTGCCTGGAAAGCCGACTGCATGGACTGGCAGACCTGGCCCACCGATGTTTCTTAGGGGCTTAGGTGTTTAGGGTTTAGGGGTTTAGGGGTTTAGGAGGGTTTAGGGTTTAGAATTTAGGGGTTTAGGGTTTAGGGGTTAAGGGTTTAGGGTTTAGTTTCATGTTGACTCTGCCTTCCTATAAGAAGGTTTCTGTGCATCCATCGGTTGCCGATGCATCCTGAAAGAAATCTATACAGGGAAGGAACCTTCCTTAATTGAGGGAACCTATTATGATATGAGGAATCGTCTTCACTCATGAAACCGTCGCCATGTAAGGCGATATAGATCTTCACGCAGGGATCATGAAATCTCTGGGAACAGGTATGTTGGTTTCTTGGCCCTTCAGTTGTTCCTTTGCCAGGAAGATCCCTGGGCAGCCAGAGCTACTCCCTAAACACCACTTAAAACTACCAGAAAGCCAAGCTCTAAACCTTGAAAGAAAACTGCTACACCAAAAGAACATACGAGCACGTATGGAACCCTAAACCAAATGAACCCCGACCAAGCCTCAAAGCCCAGTTCAAAATTTTCGTAAGCGAAAGTCTACGCGAATTCCTAGGCCTCGGCAAGGCGCGGGGAGAGCGAGTTGCCACTGGATAAGACCCAGGTGCTGTTCTTCACACCTCGAAGCACAATATGGAGGCCTTAACAACTAGAATAGACTTTTTTCGGGGCCTGTTATGGAAAAAGCTATAAAGGAACTTAGGCTTTACGGCTTTGAGGCTTTGGGATTCGGGTTTAGAGTTTAGCCGAGACCTTCTGCTAGGGTTCGAACAGGTCTTCTTGGGTCTAGGGCATTGAAGCGTACGGTGTAGAGTTCGGGCAACGGTTGGTTTGGACAGGTTGCCCTGAACCTAGGGTTTAGAGTTTAGGGATTTCTCCTTCTGTTGGCATTGCCAGAATTCCCTCCTACACCACAGAAGCACCCCCTCGAAAAAAACAAGCCAAACACTAGGTAGGTCTTACGCCCAAACCAAAGTCCAACAGCTGCAAAATGTACAATGAGGATGGAAAAGAATCATCACAGCTGTAACCATAACACTAACTGAAACAGCAAAAGGCAATATTGATGACAATGCAACCCAACTGCAACTACTGACATACATACCAGAGTCATTTTAAGGCTGACTAACCAAAACCGAAGCCCCCCCTGAACCCCAAACCCTGAAAAACAGACAAGAGAAGGCTAAACCCTAAACAATAAAACCCTAAACCCCTAAACCTTAAACCTTAAACCCTAAACCCTAAACCCTAAACTCCTAAACCTTAAACCTTAACCCCTAAACCCTAAACCCCAAAGCCCCTAAACCCTAAACCCTACGCCTCTTGCGGCTCCAGCCGCGCTCCCTGACGAGCTCGTCAGTGAGGTTCTCGCACCTCCGCACGCTTCAGAGCCGTAGGGCCAAAGCCCTGGGCCCTAAACCCTAAAAGGGTTTAGGGCTTCAGGGGTGTAGGGTTTAAGGGTTTAGGGTTTAGGGTTTAAGGGTTTAGGGTTTAGGGGTTTAGTGTTTAGGGTTTAAGGGTTTAGGGTTTAGGGTTTGGGCCTCCCCCCCCCTGAATCCGAAGTTCCTTCCAGCCTACCCTGGAACCCGAACTCGAAAAGCCCACAATACGCAAGCAATAGAGGGTCGGAATGATCAATTGTAACACTCCCGTACAGCCGCTGTCTAATTATAGCATAATATGCACCTAAACCCTCTTCCTGTTCTTCAAGCCCCCCTTTTTTCAGCCTGGCCTCTGTCCTCTGCCGGCTACCGAAGCTCTAGGGCTCGGGAAGTCGGAGTCTAACTGAGGCTTTGGTGCTTCGGATTCGGGGGTTGAGGCTTTAAGGTTTGGGGTCCAGGATTCTAAACCCCAAACCCCAAAGAACTTTGGGGTTGAGGCCTTAAGGTTTAGGATTCAGGATTCTAAATTCTAAACCCTAAACCCTCAAGGGAATTGGGGTTTAAGGCCTCGGGCTTGGGGCGTAGGGCTTGGGGCTTAGGGCTGCAACCCAAAACCCGACATAAAGGGACCGAGGGGCGTTTCTTCGGCCACCTTCTTGTCGGCCGTCACATTGTCCTGTGCTGCTCTTATATTCTTGAGAATATACTATCTAACTCTTGTTCCCTCTTAAAGACTATCCTAGTTATATAACTTTCCGTTCCTTCTTAAAGAGCATACGATGCTAGAACCAAAAAGTCTGTTCAAGAGCGGCCTAGTCTCTTGGGCCATGAAGGAGTGTGCCTTGAGCTGGCCGATTGCCTGCGGAAATGAGCTCCCTTGCCAGGGAATTTGGTTCAAGTTGCCAGAATCGAAATATATATATATATATATGTATATACATCTATGCATATATATATATATAGAAGTAAGAATTTGTAAGGTTTCCGTATTCTGGTGAATTAAACTACCCTGAATCCTAAACCGTAAGGGTTTTCGTATTCTGGTGAGTCAAACTATCCTGAACCCTAAAACCCTCAACCCTAAATCCTAAACCCCTAAACCCTAAACCCTGAACCCCAAGAGTCGGATCAGACTCGTCCACCCTGGACTTCAAAACCCTAAAAACTCCAAAGCCTCGCTTCTGGTTCAGCGTATTTAGGCCTTGTAGCGCTTAGAGGGCTCGGGGGTTCGTGTTTAGGGTTCAGGGTGTTGGGTGCAGGGGCGTACTGTTTCCTAGATGTTCCAGCACCTTCATCTGCCTGAGGTGCCTTTACAAAAACCTCGCCGAGACCCCAGTGAGACGCAAAACCCTGGACTCCAAAACGGGTGGAGCTTTTTGTTGGGCCCTGTTCTTGTTATTTTGCCATTTTTTGTTGGTGGTAGATCGGCGTCGTGGGGTTTCTTAGGACAGTACACATGTTCGCTGTAGTTTAGGGATTCCTCCCTTCATCCCTCCCTCCCTTCCTTCCTTCCTTCCTCCGTTCCTTCCTTCCTTTCTTCCTTCCTTCCTGAAACCCCAAAACCCCTAAGCCCGAAAACCCTAAATCAACCAAAACATGAACCAATCCCCAATGAACCCTCGTGATTTGGGCTGCTCCGAAGAAAGGCAGATCGTATGAGACTGTCTGCATTGTAGCACTTGGCCATGCCTGTCTTCAGGCATGTAGCGCCTTTGGTGGCTGGGCTTACAGCTTACTTAGGCTTACTTCCCAAGACAAACCTTGAACGTTTAGAGTCTAGGCGCAGGGTGACATCTTCATCTCTCTCTCTCTCTCTCTCTCTCTCTGTCTATCCGTCCCTCCCTCCCTCGCCACGGTGCATGAACACGAGGAGAAAACCCAAGGCCCACTACAAGAAAAATCCTAAACCCTAAACCCTAAAACACTGAAAAATCCAACTCGAAGCCTACGGCAAAGCGCTGAGCCCTCGACCGAGTGGGTGAAGCGAGAGTAGCCGGACCTCGCACACGCCGGAGTACGGGTTCGAGGGCCTCTTTTTGTTGGGAGAATTCCTTTTAAAGGGTTCCTGGGTACCTTACTCCCAACCTTACTCACTATAATACCTCGACGCCCCCTAAACCCTAAACCCTAAACCCTAAACTCTGAACCCTAAACCCTAAACCCTAACCCCTGAACCCTGAACCCGACGTCTGATCCGTCCAGCAGGCTTTCGGCCCAGGACCGGTGCTGCCAGGCAGCAGCTTGACGACCTCCTTCTGCAGCTCTGGTTTGTCCTGGGCTGAGCTACCAGGGTTTAGGGTTTAGGGTTGAGAGTTGAGGGTTTAGGGTTTAGGGTTTAGGGCTGAGCTACCAGATCTGATCTGCCGTGCTTCAAAACCCCAAAAAAGGGCAAGCACAATACATATTCAAATTGAAGATGGCCCTAACTCCCGGCCGATCAATCCTTACAAGCCTCGTCCTACAAACAAACGGGATTTGAAATGCAGGGCTTGAGGTTGCTGACCTTACAAACTCAAGGAGCGCAAAAACAAATCCAAATGCTAACGGCGTGGAACAACTCTATAACTATCTAGACTCTGCAAATGAAAATGATCATCTGATCTAAACCTGAACCAGCTTTCCTCTTACCAAAAACCGTTACCTTAGCCGATTGGAGGGCGTCGGCGATTTAATTCCCAATCTCGAGCAAGCCCTGACATGAGAATCAAGAGCCCAGGTGCGGCGAAGGAGGGGTAACTCCCGGGCTGCAACAGCTTCAGCTGATCCTGCTCTGGGCTTAACCCTAAACCCTAAACGCTTTAAGAAAGGTTAAAGCTTCAAGCTTTGCGGTTCAGGGCGTAGAGCTGAAGAGTTGAGGCTGCTGTTGGCGTCAGAGTTCTGGGGTAGGCTCAAACTCAGGGAATCTCAGGTATGCAAGGTTGGGGTCTACAGTGTCTGCAAACTCCACCCTCAGAGACCCGACTAAGGGCAGCCTCCAGGAAATTCGGGAGGGCTATCTGGTGGAACCTTTGTGAGGTTTCGTCGAGGATTTATGTCTTTACAGAACTTTTTTACATAGTTTTGGGCATAGTGGGTGCTGTAGAGGGTTAGAGTTTAGTGTTTGGGTTCAGGAACCGTCGAGGGATTGCAGGAGTTTACAGGGTTTTTGGGATTTCCTGGGGCCGTAGACGGTGTTAAAAAAGGCTTTATAAAGGGTTGTGTACGGGCTTTAACGGGTTCTATAAACGGTTTAGGCTTTGGGAATCAACATGTCCTCTTGCGAGTCGCAAGCTGGATGGGTTGTATCACGCCTTAAGGGTTCCCTAAACCCCAAACCCTAAACCCTAAACCCTAGACCCTAAACCCTAAACCCTTGACCCTTAAAGCGTTTACAGGGTTTACCGGAGGGCGCAAGCTTTCAGAGTAGAAGTGTGGGGCCCTGCAGGTCTCTTCTCCCTTGGTAGAAAAGAGTTAGGGTTTAGGGGTTTAGGGTTTAGGGGTTTAGGGTTTAGGGTTTAGGGGTTTAGGGCTTCTAAGGCTTGCGGCGGTTTGCACCATCCCCCTGGAGTACGATCCGTTACTTATGCAGCCCTCAACAGTCCCCGAAGCCCTAAACCCTAAACGTGCGACACAGTCCTCCAGAGTCCACGTCTCCGCAACGGCGTCGGCACAGCCGATGACGAAAGGCATGCGGCCGTAGAAAGTCGAAAGGAACGTATCGCTGGCCTCGGTTGCTTAGAGATTGGGGTTTATGGGGTCTGGGGCCCACTCTTTGAAGCCAGAGGCCTCTCTACCTTCTGCCCTGAGTGCCCTTGCAGCCCTGCTGCCCCCACGAAACCGAAAAGCGTTCCCCCCCCCCTCTCTGAGTCCCAGCAAAAGTAACCCTTATCTACTCTGAACCATGAACATGAGCTCGAACAGCCGAAACCCAATGCCACATCTTGGCCGTGGCTCTGAACGTTAAAACCTCAACGGTCACCAAGGCTCGGCGAGTGCTGTAAAGATGGATTGGATGCTACCTCAGTCAGTGGCAGGTTCTTGTCACGCAGGGTTCAGCGCTTAGCACACTGTTTCTACTGCTACCACCATTGATGTTTGCACCACTAATACTCCGAACACCACCACAGCCACCACCACCCTGCTGCAACTACTGCTACTACTACCACTACAACTACCACTACCACTGCCACTACCACCACTACTACGACTACTACTGCTGCAGCTGCTACTACTACCACTACCACTACGACTACCCCTGACTCTGCCACTGCCACCACCACTACCACTACCACCACCGCCACCACATTCACTGTACGACTATGACTACGACTACTACTACTACTACTACTACTACTCCTGCTGCTGCTGCTGCTACTACTACTACTACTACTACTGCTACTACTACATTCTTAGTAACAAGCATATATATATACATGTATATATATATATATACAT